AGCGTGCCACCAGGAATCCTGCACCGCAGCCCCCTCCTGAAGAACACAAAACCCGGTAGTCTGCTCTTCTATCTTGTTTAAGTATTTGTAAACGCTCCGGGTGGGGTTTTGTGGCATCATCGGAATAGATACGGGGAACGTTTTGTCATCTGAAATCCATAGTTTTGCTGCTTTGTGCTGCAAAACGATACACAGCCTGTAAGAGGTAGATGTTTGAGAATAGCTAATGCCCAGTCGTGCTCTGCATAATGCATTTGGTGAAAGAACAATAAATGTGTGGATTTAAACAGAATATAGACAGCTAATTATCTCTGAGGTTAAATGTTCAGTTCATTCCTGAGGAAATACTGAAAAAAAAACCCCCAAACCCCAAGAGTGATATTAAGAAACTATTTTTTTTAAATCCTAAAATGGTTCTTTGTATTGTACAATGTTACGATCCTTCCTCCAGTACCGTGAAAGGACTTGTCCAGGACAGAAGAAGCAGCTGCTTTGTGCAGGCAGGGATTTGGCTGTGGGCGCTGGCGTTAGACCTTCCCAGACCTGTGCTCGGAGAGGCGAAGGAGCCTGCGCTCCTCCTTCCCCGCGTGCTCTGACCGAGCCATTGTTTGGTGGAAGGAGCTTCTGAAAACCGATTGTCTCGATTTGGGGGGGGGGGGAAGAAAAAACCCAAGTTACAGTCGGGCTCGTGCTGAGCTCGCTGCTGAACGGTGCGCTTCCTTCCTTTCAGATGCGGGGTAATAAAGCTGCTGGCTTTGATTAAAACGTTGGCCTGATGTGTTTCGTGGTCTGTTTCAGGGCAAAAAAAAGTTACTTCTTCGAACAGAAACAACCGAGGCATCTGTTGAACGTGAGAGATGAACAGGCTTATTTTGGTCTGCTGTAACTTAACAGGTATTTGCCCCAAACCCCCCCAAGCCTCAGGGTTTCAGCGCTGCATAAATTCCCCAGGGATTCAGTGGCGGTCCGGGAAAAAAAAACCCAGGCTGTGCTTGTGCCGTGAGCCGGGGCTGGCAGCGCCTGGCGAAGGCAGTAGGAACGTCGGGGTGTCGGTGTGTTCCTGTGCGCAGTGGGTGTACTAAACCTGCTCCTCCAAGTTTTGTTCCCTGGCAGGTAGAATAAGTTCCCGAATTTCTAGTGTAATTGTTGCCTTTTTTTTTTTTTTCAGGACACGCTATAAAATTGAGTTAATTCCCTTCTTGCGTGAGTGCGTTACGGGGGGGTGCAGTGCTGTAGGTAAACACCCCGGTCCTCTGAGGCGCTGGAGTCTTGGAAAATGGATTTTTATTTGAGGATGATTATAAATTACTGCAGGACGATTTATTCTCCTGAAATGCTGTTGTGTGTACTCACAGAGACGACTCTTACGTGCTCGATCGACAAGATTAAAATGGCTTGGTAAGGGACTACTTAACTCGAAAGCCAATTAGCCAGATGCCACTGTACAGCGTGACTTATGCTCCAGCCGGGCGTGAGGCGGGGGCTGGGGACGGCCCACCGTGCCGCCTGCCCGAGATCCCAAAACAACCCTGGTAAAAACCCTCCCGAGAAGCAGACTTATTTATTCTTCAGAACTCCAGATTTCTCAGCGAAAGCATCTTCCATAGACTAATAAAAAAATCCAGACAAATTTCTCCCTGTTTATCTTCTTTTCCTTCAAATAGGGAGCTATCGAGTTCCGAGTTTACTGAAATAATCCGTCTAGACGGAGCAAGAATAGCACGGCAAGCTAACGCCGCGGTGGGGGATTTAGAAGTTGTTTCTTTTCTGACTTGCCATCTGTAAAATTTCGAATGTTTCCCTTCTTTCTAAATTAGATGGAATATGCTGATATTTGAGCATTTAACAATAACGTGCGTTTCCAGTGTGATTTGGAAAAGTTTTACGTCGTCAGCTGAACGCTGGCAGCTCTGGGAGGAGTTTGGTTGCTCTGTCCGTAGCAGGAGGGCGTTGGGTTTCTGCGGGTTATATTGCTCCCCCGTCAATTCTGTTATAACCACAACATTTTACTTTAATCCTGCAGGTAGATTTCTTGACGTTTTTGTATTGATGCTTTACTGTTTCTATAGACATGTACAGTGCGCTATAAGAGCCTTATATTGCCCTTATCTGAAGGAGCTCTCCACCTATAACGAGTATTTGAACTTGCATTAACCTTTGCTATTTTACCAGTCTTGAAATTTCCACTTGGGTTTTAAAAACGCTTGTGTGTTTTACAGCCCTCTCGCGCCGATCTGTTTAAGGTTCCCGGCTAATAGCCATGTTGAAATTTCCAGCCCATCTGCCGGGAGAGACGCCGAGTTAAAGGCAGGTCACGCAGCAGCCCGAACCCCGATTCCGACATGAGCCGGAGCTGCTTTTGACCGTCTGGCTCTAGATTCTTACCGCGGGGTGTATCGGATGAAATATTAATTGCGTCATCAAGGAGTAAAGATTTGCCGTTTTATACTCGTCAGATACATCAGTGGGGTTTTGTTTCCAGTCTGTTACTTTATTACTTTTGTGCTTAGAATTTAGCTTGCCAAAGAGTAATTCAGAACCTGTTGTATGTTGTTTGTTTCCCCCCCAAGACTTAATTACTGTTTCTTTTTCTCCTTTGAAGTGGGTAAAAGTCTGTTTCTTGGGTGATAAGGTGTAGTGGGTTGGTTTTTTTGGGGGGATTTCCTGATAACTTCTTTACTGGCAACTTTTATTTTTTACAGCTTGTTTCTAGACTTTGTCTGAATGAAGTGTTCTTGCAGTTATTTGCTTTTCGGGGATGTACACACAGAGGCAGTTTTTAAGCGTTCCTTTGTTTCATGAATTAAGTTTGAGACGACTTGAGGGAGTTCACGTAGAGTACTCTCAAGCGTGACGTTACACGCTTTTTGTCAGTACCTGTGTATTTCCGCGCTCCCTCTGGATTAAAGCGTGCTCGTCTTTATTTAAAAAATGAAATTATAAAGACGACTGTAAAGCACAGTTGTGGGTTTGTCCTTTTTTTGTTTGTTTGTTTTTAAAACTCTGGGCAATATGCACTGAAGGCATTTAGCTCTGGTATCATAGGTCAGTGCGTGAGCACTTTCCTTCTCCGCAACCTGACGTTATCTTAAAATCACAGGAGGTACCGGAGGTTCCCGGCAGCTGGATGGCTGCGCTGCCTGCAGTGCGTTTCCTGGTCGTGGACACAAATCAGTCAGGCAGGGAAGTGAAACTTGGGTGTAATTGTGCAAACCAAAGCACATCGGGCACGCTAGCACAGCCGGCAGAGCTCGACCTGCCGGCAGTTTCCAGGCGTCGAGCTCAGGGGCCGCTCACGTCCCGATACGGCAGCCTAATCCTTTGCTAAATTCTCCAGCTTCTGTATTTTTGAGCGGAGTTTCAAATGCCACAATTTTTACGAGGTGTTATTTAGTGCCTCGAGGCATCAAAACGAACGAAGGCGTTTAATTCGGAGAGCGGAAGGCGGCGGGGCAGGAGTTTGTAACCACCTCTCGGTTTGGGACTCTGTTTGCAGGTAAAAAATTCTTTTGCACAGTCTTTTTTGCGCTGACAGCGAGCGTTGACTTTGTCTCAGATTTAGATTGCTAGGGTCACTGGTTAGAAATAAGTTTTGAACTCCCGTGTAGCTAGTGAAGGAAGATTCTAATGGTAGGAAATGTCTATTTTTAAATCAAAATAGGCTCATTAGGACCCTGTGGATGAACCCTGGGGCAGTCTCGCCGGTTCGTGTGTTGCAGGAGCGTTGCTGCATTCCTCAGACTTGTAAAGCGTATCCCTAAAAAATAATCCTGATCGTCGGGGTGGACGGGAGTTGAACTTCTAATTATTTCTGGAGCAGATTAGATGCGTGTTTCTCGATGCTGTCATTTCATTTTCACGAGCGTGTGGGTTTTGCTAAAATGCACCAGGTCTCCTGATGTTTGCTGAAATATTTTGCGTCTTCAGTTACCCGCGTTTTACATATTGAAACGGCAATTTTTGTGTGTTTCCCTGCTCCATTGTGAAGACGGCTTTGAGGTTTTGTCACGGGGGCCGGATCCTTCCTTGGGGTTAGGCGGGTTTGCCGTGGCCAAGAGGTCTCTATTGTTTCCTTACCTTGTGTATCCTGTTGTTCTTTGTTTAACCTGTCATCGCACTTGATGCGGTGCCTGCCGCCCCTGCTTTCGCTGGCTCCTTAAATCAGGAGCGCCGGCGCACTGCACTTGATGCGGTGCCTGCCTGCTTTCGCGCGCGTATGTAATGCCCCGCGGAGCTGCCCCTGCACCGCCTGGGTGGGGGAGGCTTGTGTTTCGTGCTCTGTTGAAATAAGCAGAGAAAGCGTTTAAAATTCGCGTGCTTTCGGGCGCTGGCAGCAACGTGAATTTTGCCTTCCCTGGGATGCTGGTTGCATTAACGCACGAGAGAGATATAAGAGTTCGCGCCGTCATGAGTGTTGTCACCGAGTGTAGGAACCACGCTCTCGGTCCACGTTGTCTGATGGCTCTTACGTCCGTAAATGCTGGCATTTGTGTAAATGTGTCTTTTTATGATGGGTTCTAAACCTCCCTGGTTCTACTGCTTGCATGCTTAAGTGACAGTGTCTTACCGTAGCTTTGAATTCAGCCTGTTGAAACTGTACCAAGTCTGTAGGGATCTTGTTGCTTTATATTTAATGTTGCTTTTTTTCTGGCTAGTTGTTTCACCACGCCTTTAAACAAAAGACAAATTTTACTCTTAAAAAGCACGAGCAAAACGGCTCTGACAAGCTGTGAGACTCAAGGTATGCCTTGGCTAGTACAGTGGCAATTTTCTTATTTCTTTTTTTTTTTTTTTCCCCCCCCTTCTTTCTTTTTCAGA